TTTTTCAATCAAATACATTGGTATGAAAGACGAAATTCCTGATGTCTTGGGTAGAAAATACCTTCATCTTCAACCCATACCAATATATCCATGTAATTCGCCAGACATGAATATCCACAGAACAAGTAGGCAAAGCTTGCAATATGAATAGATTTCTTAAAGAAAAAAAGGAAAGTAATTTTGAGCCAGTCTTCTCCATTTGGTTACAAATCAACCTACAAAAGATCAGTTCATGTCTATAGCTCTTATGGAGATGAAACAGATGGTATGTATGCTTTTAATTTCGTTATTCGTCTTTAGAATTGTTCCATATCTCTATATTTTTGAAATCAATTTATATAATGCTCGTATAATTGAATATTCCTGTAATAATTAAATATATCCACTTTATATAGAACAAAACTCAGTAAACATCTCTCAGTCAAGATCTACTATTTATATGCAAGTAGATGTAGTAAGGGGATTCAGATCCGGGAGCTCTGAGGGGGAGTGAGGTGCGTGGGGAAGGTACGGGGGAGGGGAGGGGGACCGGGCCGCCTTATCGCGCCGCCCCCCGCTGCCCCCTCAGGATACTGTTTCAAAAAAGGTGCCGCCGCGGGATACTGTTTCTAAAGCGGCCGAGCGCAGCCGATGCAGGCGATGACATCATCATCGAATGTCGCGACAAGTTCGCGCAAGGATCAAATTAATAAAATGGTTGTACTCACATTAACGATAGCGGCATCGGTGGTAGCAAACGACAGCAGGCAACGGCAACCCTCCCACCTCCCCCACCCCCGACGACCTATTACCACACCGCCTGCAGGTGCCCGAGGAGGTGGAAGAATTCCTCCACGGTACCCACCCGCATGTGGTGCATTAACAGATGCACCTGGTCAATCGGGAGGGGGGGAGGACCCGGCTGCACGTGCACCTCGACGACGATGACATCGTCCTCATCGTTGACGACGCGTACCTCGTTAACGATGACGACATCGTCGTCAATGACGTCGTCCTCATCGTCAACGACGATGACGTCGTCCTCACCGTCGTCCTCGCCACCGTCCTCGCCATCGTCATCCACGACGCCGTCATCGTCCCCCATAGGAGAAGATGTAGGAGGGAGGTGATAATCGTCAAAAACCTCCATGGCAACCTCCGCTGCCACCTCCACGGCAATCTCCATCGCCATGTCCATCACCACCTTCATCACCTCCTCATATTCAAAAAACGGTTGCAAAAATTGTTCACGAGGGGGCTCGTGGTGCCCCATTGTTTCCCTTTTTTTTTGTTTGTTTAGTTTCACGCAGCCCCCCTCGCACACACACACACACATACACCCTCACTCGCACACACGCACGTAAGGCGATCTTCCCGCGTTAACGAATAGCGGCTTTCACCACGATTGCGGAAGAACATAAAAAAATACGGCGCACGCAACGCGTCACCACGCACTTGGCAGTCGTAGTATTAAAAACGTATACACAGCCAAAGTCTGCATGCAGATTGATAGACGAAAGAATACTGACGACGAGATGCAGCGGTGAGAGAAATGCCTCAGCCCTATCTAATGTATATATAAAAAGAATTCAGATGCAGCGGCGAGAGAAATGTCTCGACCCTATCTATTGTATATAAAAACAACTGAGATCACTGGTGCCGCCGTAAGGTTGCCGCATCCCCGTTCTATGTAACGCGTTAGCGTACGATTATTTTATTAATATAATCTCGCGTAGTAAAGCATACACGTTATACTCTAACGCGAGTAGGTGCATAAGAGAATCGTTTCGCAGAGTATATGCAGAGTATATATTTTTTATTCATAATTTTTCGTACAATTTATTCAAGTGCTGTTACACAGTATTTCTTTGTATTACGCGTTAAATACCAAAGCGAGGAGCTCGCAATCGACGAGCTGGCGTTTGTCGAAGACGTCGCTCTCGCTTATAGCATTCGCGACGTTGGCGAAGCGCGTGTACTTGACGTCGACGGTATCGACGAGTCGGTATCTAATCGCTCGAAAGTTAGGTCGATGCAGCCGTCGAGATCGAACATACGGCGTAGTGTAGATTCGATCATCGTGACGTGTACGGTTGGGGTTCGAGTCGTACGAGCGTAAGATCGTTATGCGCGTAGATCGTAGCCGTGATCGGTCCGACGATTATGAAATCGTCCCTGTACTCGTTGCGCAGCAATTTGTAGATATTCCGTCGCTGCTCGTAGAGACCCTTCCACGTTTCGAGGGACATGGACAGTCCGCGTCCGTGATGATCGCCCAGAACGATCTCCACGTAGCTCGGTGGACCGACGCTGATGCCGTTTTCCAGAAACTTGTAACCCGTGGCGGTCAGGTCGTAACGCCGACTCAGAATGCGCACCGGGCGACGCCGTACGAACGTAATTATATATTTAGGTACAGTTGTAGGAAAATAAAAAAAAAGAAACGGGTTTAGAAGAGTAAAAACTTACGATTTCTTCTGAGGTTCCGCGCTGCCCATCTCTTTGGCGAAGTACAAGCCGAACATTTTGTCGATCCGTTCGCGCAAGCGAGCGTAGCGAGAATGTCCGCGTAAATGGCGTAGCGATATTTCTGAAATCGTAGGGAGTGGAGGTAAATCGAAAAGAGTGGGGGTCTTCCGAGAATCGCAAACCTGTCACGACAGGTTTTATCGCAAACAATTCCGCGAATTATCGTTCCGAGAACCTATCGTTTTATCGCAAACAATTCCAAGAATTGTTTTTGTTCGTACCGATAAGACTCGTTTGTTCCCGCGCTCAATGATGGGGGGATTCGAGGAAACGTACGTGTTTATTTTATCGACGAGACTCCCGCGCTTTTAATGGCGGGGGAGGGGGAGGACTTCGAGGACGCACGTATTTGTTTTTCGACGACGACGAAGACGTTGGCGGGGAGGACTTCGGGGACGCACGTATTTATTTTTCGGCGACGTTTGCTTGTAAGTCGAGGATGTATCCTTCGACGTAGGCAACTCCCAATAGTATCTTTGGTTTTGCGAAGACGTCGGCTTGTCCTTCGACGGAGGCAACTCCCAATAGTATCTTTGGTTTTGCGACGACGTTGAAGACGTCGGCTTGTCCTTCGACGGAGGCAACTCCCAATAGTATCTTTGGTTTTGCGACGACGTTGAAGACGTCGGCTTGTCCTTCGACGTAGGCAACTCCCAATAGTATCTTTGGTTCGTCGACGACGAAGACGTCGGCTTGTCTTTCGACGGAGGACATTCCCAATAATAGGTTTGTTTCGTCGACGACGAAGACGTCGGTTTACAAGCGGTAGACGTATCCTTCTTCGATGAGCCGCTGCCCCCCTTGCGCTCGGCCCACTTTCGATGCAGACAGTCGGTCAATCGGTCCATACCGTAACGCTCGTAAGAGGACGAATGAACGAAAAGAGCGTTACGCACCGTCTATATACTGTCGACGCGTATATACTAAATACTATGTACTATATACTATGTACTATGTACTATATACTAAGGGAGAGAAGTAAAAAAAATACGAGGTAAATACGTTTACGTAATTTTTATTTTAAAAAATTTCTTCGCAACCACCATTTATATAATTTGAATACATTTTGCATGGCGCAATTCGTAGCGTGATGTCCGCATCGCGTAGTATCAGCGGTATCCATATCGGTTAATGATAGGGTGTCTTCGTAAACCGCATCCAGGGTCTCGATGTGCACGCGTTCGTCCAGGAGCAAGTCTCGCAGCCACGTTCGTTTCTCACGTCCCTTGACGTACACTACCGCATCCTCCTCCTCCTCCTCGCATACAGCACTGGTAATCAGGCGTTTCGCCTCGCTGTACGGGGTCGTCCCGTCCGTCCATCGTAGTCTATGGTGATAGGTAATCAACCAAGAAGCGCAAGACCTGTCGAATCCTGTCAATAACCTCCATGGTACGGGATTCGTAAAAACGTAGTGCGCGAGCACGGTCCCGTGTTTCAAAACCGCCGCTTCCTTCACGACGAATCGCCCGTTGACGACGAAACTCTGCAGATCCACGAACGTCGGCGTGTGCATGTCGGACGAAGACTGCGATCGTTGTCGATGTATCGTAGATTCTTATATCGCGCGCTTAGATAATTTTGCGCACAACGTTGGTCAGCGGGTTGTACTCGATCACGCGATCGTGTACGATGAGACAGTACGCGGTAGTATTCGCGGGCGCGTTCTCTTTGAACTCAAAGTCCAAACGCACATCCACGGTGCCGCTCTTGACCGATTCGTTCTGTCGAGAGCAGTCGATGATCACTAGAGGAAAACGATCCCTAAAGTAATCCGCCCTGAGTAACGTTTCACCTCTTTCGCGGGGGATTTGATAGTACGATGTACGGAAACGTACGAACATGTCGTACAAAATGGCGGTTTTGCGTTTGTCCCAATCTAGATTTAAATCGTCGTATGGGAAAAATTCGGAATTCAGATAGAGTTTCACGTTGGTTAGTTTACAATTGTCGAGGTAATTTGTATACGTCGACATGTTATTTTTTTCTATTAGTCTGCAGAGCAAAGATGACGTATCGCGGCTTCTCGAGCTGAGTCGCAGTCTTGATAGCCCACGAGTGCTTGGTCGCGCTCGGTAACAGAGGATACTCGTACAGATCCCACGAACGGAAACTCATACTCAGATATCATCCGTTCTCCAGGATACGCAACATGGATAATTTATTGACTTCGTTCAACGTAACGTGAGGCATTCGCCATTGTATCTTGAACAATTCGAGTTTCGGCTCGGTCGCTGCATCTCCCACGACGCAATTGTTGTCGTTGCCCGCTCGTACACTGAGAAAAAGAAATTGTTAACTCAACTAAATTAGCGGTCACGGGCTGTCAAGCAAATATTTTGTTAATTCAAAAATAGGTCCTGTCGAAATAAATAAGTCATTGTTCAATGTACTACTGCGTATTTGACTCAAATACATTAATATTTCGACTAACAAAATATTTGCTTGACAGCCTGGGACCGCCAATTTAGTTGAGTCAACAATTTTTTTTCTCAGTGTATCAGAATCAGTTCGTGACGCGCGTTGATCACCACGCGTTTGTAATCTTCGCAAAAGCCAAACAACATGTTCAACGGTACGTAAAAACTAAAGTATCCATCGCGTGATACTAGTCTTTTTAAATCGTTGTCAAAAACCGGATGTGGAAATCCGGCATTCTCCATATGATGCGTGTAGTCATCCGAAAACGTTGCATAGCCCTTCAAAAGACTAGTTATTCCGACGTTTCTGCCACGATCGATCTCAGTACCATTGAGTTCGTAGCGAATTTCCTCAAACATGAACGACACGCAATTGATTCCAAGCTGTGGCTGTCGTTCCGCGTTTTCCTCTTTCGACGTGAGTCTTCCCTCGACGTAGAGATAGCTTTCACAGGGTAACGTGTACAGATCCTGCTGCTGTATGGGTATTCGTATCTCGTCGCTGTGTCCGAACGTCGTGTTCACGTACGGATTGTACGTGTGAGTCTCGATCCTGACGATGCGATCGTCGAAGACCGGCTTGTCTTTGACGTTCAGAATGTCGGTCATCCTTCTCGAAAGTTGCGCACCGCGAATCCCAGAGATTTTAAAAACTCCACGTTCGACGCACTGAGCCTGTTCCTCGTCTTCTTCTTCTTTTCGATGCGAACGGATGAGCGAGCACTGTCGGGCGGTGATGGTCTTGGGTCGTCTCTCTGCTGGTTCAACACGAGCATCTCACGCGCGCGCGCGCCCTATCGCTGTCGCCGTCGCACGTGCAATCTGCCGGTGATCTCCTCCCCGCGAAAATCGATCGGCCGTCCGTTCTGATCGACGACGCGTATCGTTAGATAGGTAACGCTCCGTGCGACGATCGGAAGGTAAATGATCTGCGTCGGCCTTTCCGATACCTTATATCCCGGTGGCACTTGCGGCGAAAATTCGTGTATCGTGTGCGCGCTGTTGCCGTTGCTGTACGCGCCCGCCGTCATGTTGCACTCTACGCGGACGATGTTCACGGTAATAATGTTGACCGACGCGTCCGACTGGTGCCATTTTCGCGGTTCCAATACACGCTTCGAGAATCCCAGCAGCGACCCGATGCTGTTGGGTTTGTCAAAGTTTATTCGGAAGGCGCATACGATCTCGCATCTCATCGTGTTGTAGTTTGCGCGGAGCGCTATCGGGTACTCCGCATCCACGTCGTCGTCGTAGTCGTCGTCTCCACGCACCGCGCCATCGGGCAGCGGACGTTTCCGCGAGATCGCGCGTTTCAGAAATTCGTTTACGGCTCGCAGTTCGTACGAATCCAGGGGATAGTAATTTCCTCGTCGTCGTTTCCAAAGTGAAATTTGTCGTTGGAATCGTCCAGATCGTCGAGCTTTTTAGAATTCGGCGGTTTGTAGAAACTGCAGACACATCTGTCCGCAAAAGGTCTGATCGTACGTCTGATACGACGTTCGATTGTACTCTATCGCCGTAGTAACGCCGAAATATCGCACGAGTTCCTCGGGCGGTAGGAGATTGCCGAAACTTTCAAAGTACACGACGCGGTTGTTCTTCTTCGCGTACGCCACCCAATGAGTACCGGGGCCCGTGGCATCGTCCAGATTCACGATACCGCTCTCGTTGCGGCGCGCACCGCTCGTCGGTAACGCGTTACGCATGAAGGCGTGGCGAAAGCGGTAAACGACAGCAAAGCCGCTCGACGTCAGCTCGAGGAGCTGCAACGTCACGATCGCGCGATAGAACAGGGCCGCGGACTGTATCTCGCTCCGTACAGACACGGACGCGGGCTGTATCTCGCCCCGTACAAACGCGGACATGGACAGAAAGGAAAAAAAAAACGTCGAAGAAACGATAAAAATGCCCACGGGCTCAACCACCAACGTGTAACTGGACTGGCTCGCGAGACCGTACTTTAGAGGGGTCTTCATGCGTAACGCGTTACCGACGAGCGGTGCGCGCCGCAACGA